TTTTCTGTTCTTATCTATTCGCTTCTTTTTATACCATCGTTTGTTCGAATGTCTATTTCATTCCTGATGATGCCAACTGAAAGCTGGCGAAAGCTCGAATAAAGTATTTTCAAGACTGAAAGTCATGTTATTCATAGCAGTTCTATATTCGATTTACAAATAACTGTGTGAACAGTTATCAGTTCATCGAAAAAACTGAAGGATATATGTAATCGGGCGTCCTCTTCAAACTGATATAGTTTGAGGGCACATCTAGGGGGGTTGGACCCCCTTAAGCGCTCCGAGATTGAAGGAAACGAAATCTAAACAGCTATATATGCAGAATTATTTGAGGACGTGAAATAACGCATTAATGTGTAAAATTCCAATTATACGATATCAGACGCCCTTCTACGCTTCTTATCGTAATCAAAACCTAATTATTTAAATAAAACTCGTTTTGTTAGAAGTATCCCAACTGTATAACGAGTGGTCCAGATTTAATTGCCGGCCTTTTCAAAGCTTTTTCTCAGGTTAAGCTTGATCAAAAAATTTTGTTTGGATCCTAAAAGATCGAGAATTTTGCCTACACGTTAGTCATACATTCCTTTTGAAATAAATATTTGCCGTTTTTTTACAGCTCTAGAAATGCTGAAAGCTATAAAAGACAACGTTGCTCAACTGAAGAATTAAAAAGTTCTGCTCAGTTAGATAAGTGTTAAAATCCAATGGTTCTTAACACATGAAGCAACACGGAGCATAACGGATACAGACTGTGTATTGAGTAACATAAATACAGACTGTGTATCGAACATCATAAATATACGTATATGTTTATATAAAAGTTTAGACCGGTCAGTCTCCGTCGGTCTAGAAAGATTTTCAAACCGGCCGCTGATTGACCGGTTTTTTGCCGGTTTTGAAATTCTTAGCATTTTTCTCTTCTACACCAAAAAGATGAGTTTTTCCACCCTCTTGTCCGTCTAGAAAATATTTGAAAACCGTCCGGTTTTCTGCCGTTTTTTAACCAGTCTAGAGAATTTTTCAAAACCGGCGCGTCTTTTGCCGATTTTTCACCGGTCTAAACCGATTTTTGGACCGGCCCGTCCGGTCCGGCCTCTTATTTTTAGACCACTTACGATTCTAAGACAAGGCACCACTCGCTGATATTGATAGAGGTATATTTGACGTATTTCTACTTGATATACAAACATTTTTGATTAATTCCTGTTATCTTTTTATATAACTGAAATTGTTCAAAGATAATAGAGAAAATAGGCTTTAGAGCCACAAGGTAATCCTTTACAACTGGCGACTCCGAGGCCGGATCATATGACATAACAACTCCTAAGCAAAATTTAAAGTCAGTTCTTCTAAAACATACGTCTGATATCAATCATACGACTAATTAGGAAGAAGTTAAAATTCTGTTGGTACATTCAAACTCTTAACGTTTGTTCATAAAGAATCTCTAACGAATTCACGAGTACATTTTATATATCCTAATAGAATTCATAAAATATCGCTACCAGATCCCGGGGATAAGGTAACTCTCAAGGTAGCTTTTTAACTGTTTGTACTTCATACGCTCATTTATATCCTAGATTTCACAAATATGTTTTCCTATCTTCGCTCTCACAAAAAGGTGTATTTTCTTCCGTCATTTCTTCATTTACATTCGCTTTGACTGAATGCACATGTTGTAAAACGTTTTTATTACCTTGAAAATGAAAATTGTGTATTTTTTTACCAATTTTAAAATTTCTAAACCCTGAACAAGCATAATATTCCCTTATCCGCAACTAAAGAGTAGCGCTGTTACAAAATAAGGATAATAGTTGAAAAAAAAGTCAATTTTTTTATACTAAGTTATTAATGTGAACAAGTATTCTCTAGATAAAGTGACTGATTTTCCAAGGGATCACTGCTTCTAGTAGGGAAGTATCACAGAAAATCATCAGTGTTCACGTACGTTATTCAAGAATCTCTTGACCAATAATTCTCATCTTCGCACCCGACAGAAATCAGGAATCTTGAAAACTACCGTTTTGCCCTGCAGTCTGATAGTTCCGCTTTAAAGAACTGAAAATGCACGTTAGATCGTGCCTTGGTAGCTCAGCTCACTGGTTAGAGCTTCTTTCTGTTTTACTTCTTTATTCGACACTCATAAACAGAATTAGAATTAAATCACGCTTCTCCAGCCATTTTCACGAAGTCACTAACGAGGGAACGTTCCTAAGTGTCCTCCCGCTTTTTCAACGAAACCTAGTGGGTTATAGGTTATCGATGATGCTGATTCCGAATATGAATATGAGAGCTGATCTTAGGGCTTCGAAGATCCGGTCTTCTAGAAAATCAGTTTTTCAGAAACTCTGAAAAACAACTAAAGCTTTTCTTAATAGGCCATGCTCGTAGCCCGCACATTTCTGATTAAAGTGAGACCTCTCCCAACTCTACATGACCTTTCTTTGCAAAGTTGTAGAATTTACAAGAAAAGCCCTAAATATTCATTGTCAGCTCAAAGCTACAGAAATAAGAAGAAATTAATTTAGGGCTTTTCTTGTGAATTCTACAACTTTGCAAAGAAAGGTCATGTAGAGTTGGGATAGGTCTCATTTTGATGAGAAATGTGCGGGCAACAAGCATGGCTTGTTAAGAAAAGCTTTGGTTGTTTTTCAGAGTTTCTGAAAAACTGGTTTTCCAGAGTTTCTGAAAAACTGGTTTTCCAGAAAACCGGACCTTCCAAGCTCTAAGGGCAGCTCTTATATTCATATTCGGAATCAGCATTATCGATATCCTATAACCCATGACGTTTCGTTGAAAAAGCGGGGGGTCACTTAGGAACGTTCCCTCGTAAGTATTATCCATTTTAAATAGAACAAATGTTATGATCTTTTCATAGCTTTAGAATGATAAGAGATAGAGAGTTGTGGTGTTCGCTTTTCAAAACTGGAGAGCGGTGGAAATGAATGTATTCGGAAATAAAAGTCCCGGTGCAGTTGTACGTGCTATATCTTACCACTTTGTTTAACGAGGGAACGTTCCCTCGTAAGGTGAGGTTGTCAAGCGATGGATTTTTGATCCTTATGCGACTAGAATGACCAGAAGTAATCTTAAAAAAGATTAAGCATACATTAATTATAGGTTATCGACTAAACTAAGTCATATGGCAATAATTTTTTTAAAAATAATTCGGAAACTTCGTGAAAAGTCAGTTATACCCGAAATAGGTTTCTTAGGCTATTCTCGCCTAACAATAAAGAGTTCGTAACTCATCAGAAATTAATTAGAATGCCCTGAAAGCTGCATAATATACTATATTTGAGCTTCTCCATATCCTCATAATAAGAAAACTCCGTAAAGTCTCAAGGGGATCTCATGATTTTTCAACATGTTTTCTCAAAAACCTGATAATCAAACAAAGCTATTTTTGCTTTTTGGTTCGTGTTAATAAAGAAAGTCGATTTATTTTTAAGTGTTCTTTTTACTTTGTTGTTATTTTTAATAAAAATGCTTTTACTTTAATTATATACAAACAAGAACGGAGAAACACTATGTGTTACTGTAGTAATTACATATAAGAAATAATATACAGTACCCAAGAGAATAATTATTTAATGTTATATCTGATTAAATCTCCTTGATTTCCAGATCAATATGAGCCATAGTAAGAGTAAACTACAGATATCAACTACAGGTCGCTTTGAGAATCAAACTTCAATCACAAATGCATCACCAGTACTCGATCGTAGTCAAAATATTGATACGCACACTCTAATATGGTTAGACAAATCATATCCAACTGATCGACCCACTCATATGAAACTACGAACAATAATTGATTATTTACTCTTATATGATGACATCGATTCATGCATGAAATACATTAATGGCAGTAAAGAACAAATATTTTTGATTGTATCTAGTCAATTTGGACAAACAGTTGTATCGAATATTCACAATCTTCGTCAATTAAATTCAGTTTTCGTGTTTTGTCAAGACAAAACTCGGCGTGAATAATGGACAAAAGATTACAAAAAGGTTTGTTTAATCGGCACTATTCATCAACTCTGTTTTTAAATCTTCTCTTTTCGAATGTAGATTAAATGTGTGTGTAATGACACAGAAACATTAGAAAAAGCACTGGTCGACTCACTGAAATTCTATCTAAAACAAGAACGAGCAATGCCCGACCTTTTCAATCATTCTGGTATCGATATCACCACTAATGACTTACGTGAAAATGACTGGCTTCTTGAATTGATTTATGTTCTGATTCGACACGAACCACCTGTTGATAGTAGAAACACGTTGATCGCCACTCTGTCGAACTACTATAAGGGTAATGCAGGACAAGAAGCGGTAATCAAAAAATTTTCTGATGAATATTCACCAGAGAAAGCTATTTGGTGGTATACACGAGACACATTTATATATCGTCTTTTGAATAAAGCCTTAAGACAAATGAACGTTGAAGGTATATTACCGTTTCATTTTTTTATTCGTGATTTATACAATCAACTCGAACAAGAACATCAAAAGTTTCAAAGTAATATTAAAACACCTATCAAAGTATATCGCGGACAAATTATCACACGCAGTGAACTTGAAAGACTCAATGATTTATCCCAAATGAGTGACAACAACAACTATATATCACTGACCAGCTTGATATCGACCACCCTCGACCAGTCTGTTGCCCTACTTTTTATCGAATCACGTAAATCTAATGATGAATGTGATCTTAAAAGTGTTCTGTTCGAAATTGACATTGATTTGAGAAAGAAAACACGTCCATTTGCTGATATTGCCGACTGCACTCAGTTTCCTGATGAAAAAGAAGTACTAATGATGCCGTGAATTTTTTTCAGCGTTGTCTCTGTCAACTTCGATATTGATAGTCAGCTGTATACAGTAGAATTAAAAACACTAGAAGAAAAGGAAGGAAGTCCAACGGTAGAGCTTCTACAGGGGAGCTACAAACAAATACAACATGTAGGAAATCGTGTTATTAACAAACGTTTGTTCAAAGAAATGAACTCATATTATAAATATATGATAGATTTATTTCCACCAGATAACCCCATCAAATCAAACGATTTCACACCCTTAATTTCGCAAAGCCAGGATGAAAAGGGGTATGAACAAGCAATTGACTACTACAAAAAAACACTAATATTGACAAAGAAATTAGTAGACCCAGATAAATGGGAGATTTCGCAAACTTATGAGACGATGGCTGATCTCTACTGGAAACAAAAGGAAGACGACTTGGCTGTTGATTATTACAAAAAATCATTAATACTTTTTAGAAAAAACTTCGAACCCAGATGACCCGCAAACTTTTCATCTGCATGAAACGATCATTGATCTCTGCCTGAAACTAAATGAACCTGCATTGGCTATTGATTATTACAAGAAGTCATTGATATTCCAGGAAAACTTACCGAAAACAGAGCAAGGGAACATCCACCTAACGTACAAAACAATTGGAGATCTTTACACGAGACTCAACCAATGTAACTTGGCTATAGAACACTATACAAAATCGTTAATATTGCGCGAAAAATTACCAGAACCAGAACAACGGTCGATTCCGTATGTATATGAAAAGATGGCTAATATCAGTATCAAACTAAATAAATATGACTTGGCTATTCAATATTACGAAAAATCATTACTGTTCAGAGAACAATTACTAGAACCAAATGCATGCGAAATTCATAATACGCATAAAACAATTGCTGATGTCTACAAGAAACTAAACAAACACAACTTGGCTCTTGAACATTACAGAAAATCATTAATATTGCGAGAAAATTTGCCGCAACCACACCAACAGCAGATTTCATATATATACGAAAAGATGGCTGATGTACATATAGAACTAAATCAACATGAATTAGCTGCTGAATATTACAAAAACTCATTAATATTATTAGAAAAACTATCCGATGCACACCAACAGAACCTTCCGCATACATATGAAACAATCGCTGGCCTCTATATGCAAGTAAACAAATATGACCTGGCCATTAAGTATTACAAAAAATTAACAATATTGTGCGAAAACCTACAAAAATCACAGCAAGGGCAGCTTCCGTATATATACCAAAAAATCGGTGATGCCCATATAAAGCTAAACAAACACGATTTGGCTCTACAATATTACCGAAAATCATTAATATTCCAAGAAGCCTTGCCAGAACCAGACCAACATCAGATTCCGTGTTTATATGAAAACATCGCCGACGTACACATGAAACTAAACAAATATAGCCTGGCTCTTGAACATTATAAAAAAGCATTGATATTCGAAGAAAAGCTGTCCGACCCCAACCAACGGCGAATTTTCCATCTAGATGAAAAGATGGCGGACGTACATGTGGAACTAAACGAATATGAACTGGCTACTGAATATTACCAAAGATCATTGACATTCGCAGAAAAACAACCAGAACTACACCAACAGCGGATCTCGTGTATATATAAAAGAATCGCAGATGTATATATGAAACTAAACAAATATAACCTGGCTCTTGAACATTATAAAAAAGCATTGATATTCGAAGAAAAACTGTCCGATCCCGACCAACAGCGAATTTCACTTATGTATGAAAGGGTGGCGGATGTATATATGGAACTAAACGAATATGAACTGGCTACTCAACATTACCAAAGATCAATGACATTCCCCGAAAAACAACCAGAACTACACCAACAGCAGATCTCGTGGATACATGAAAAAATCGCAGATGTACACGTGAAAGTAAATAAGTATGACCTGGCTCTTGAACATTATAAAAATTCATTGATATTCGCAGAAAAACTGTCCGATCCCGACCGACGCCGAATTTTACTTATATATGGAAAACTCGCCGATGTGTACAATTCATTAAGTTCGACAAAAGAACTACCCGAACCCGATAAGTGGGAGATTGCGCATGTGAATGAAAAAATCGGTTACCTGTGCATGGAACTGAATGAATGTGATTTGGCTATTGAATATTACGGAAGATCATTAGTGTTACGGGAAAATTTGCCCAATCCCGATCTACTGGAAAGCTCGCTTATTCATGAAAAAGTCGCAGATGTCAACCGGAAACTAAACAGGTATGAGCTGGCTATTGAACATTACAAAAAGTCGTTCATATTAGCAGAAACTTTGCCCGAACCAAAACATTTGATTATTTCGAACGTATGTACAAAGCTCGCTGAGATCTACAAGAGACAGGAGAAATATGATTTGGCTATTGAATACTATAAAAAATTATCAACACTGAGAGAAGAAGTACTGGAACCCGATAAGTGGGAAATTGCGCATGTGAATGAAAACATCGGTGACGTGTATATGGAACTAAATGAATGTGAGTCAGCTACTGAATATTACGGAAGATCATTAGTGTTACGGGAAAATCTGCCGATTCCAGATCTACAGGAAAGTTCGCTTATACATGAAAAAATCGCAGATGTACACGTGAAAGTAAATAAGTATGACCTGGCTCTTGAGCATTATAAAAATTCATTGATATTCGCAGAAAAACTGTCCGATCCCGGCCGACGGCGAATTTTCCTTATATATGAAAAACTCGTCGATGTGTACAATTCACTAAGTTTGAGAAAAGAACTACCCGAACCCGATAAGTGAGAGATTGCACATGTGAATGAAAAAATCGATGACGTGTATATGGGACTAAATGAATGTGAGTCGGCTATTGAATATTACGGAAGATCATTAGTGTTACGGGAAAATTTGCCGATTCCAGATCTACAGGAATGTTCGCTTATTCATGAAAAAGTGGCAGATCTCAACATGAAACTAAACAGATATGAGCCGGCTCTTGAACATTATAAAAATTCATTGATATTCGCAGAAAAACTGTCCGATCCCGACCGACGGCGAATTTTACTTATATATGGAAAACTCGCCGATGTGTACAATTCATTAAGTTCGACAAAAGAACTACCCGAACCCGATAAGTGGGAGATTGCGCATGTGAATGAAAAAATCGGTGACGTGTATATGGAACTAAATGAATGTGATTCTGCTCTCGAATATTATGGAATATCATTAGCGTTGATAGAAAATTTACCAGATCCGGACCAACGGCAAATTTCGCTTTTGTGCGAAAAAATCGCTGATGTACACATCAAACTAAACAGGTATGAGCTGGCTATTGAACATTACAAAAGGTCGTTGTTATTGACTGAAACGCTGCCCGAACCAAAACATTGGATGATTTCGAACATATGTGTAAAGCTCGCTGAGGTTTACAAGAAGCACAAGAAGTATGATTTGGCTATTGAATATTATAAAAAATTGTCAACACTGAGAGAAGAAGTACTGGAACCCGATAAGTGGGAGATTGTGCATGTGTATGAAATAATCGCTAATCTTTACATGAGGCTAAATGAATATGAGTCCACTATCGAATATTACGGAAGATCATTAGTGTTACGGGAAAATTTGCCGATTCCAGATCTACAGGAATGTTCGCTTATATATGAGAAAATCGCAGATGTCAACATGGAACTGAACCAGCATGATTTGGCTATTAAATATTATAAAAAATCATTAATGTTGCTTGAGAAGTTACCGAAATGTGAGCAGAGGCAGATTCCACATCTGTACGAAAAGGTCTGCGATGCCTACAGAAAACTAAATAAAGATGATTTGGCTATTGAATATTGGGAGCAAGGATTAGCATTCAGAGATAAATTACTGGAACCGGATCATCGGACGATTCCGCTTGTAGATGAGACAACCGCTGATGCATCTGGAGTTGAACAATATCTGACGACATCTCAACCGTCAGTTGCGCATACTCGTCTAAAACAAACTGAAGGGTCTTACACACTGAATGGAACATGTGCAGTTGAACACTATGTAAATATATCTCAAGCATCCGTCCTCCAAACGAGTGAGGCAGATGAAAAACGACAACAGGAATCGGTATATCAGTTAAACCTTGACGGACTCGAAAGCTGTTTAAGAAGCTTAAGGGGAACAGATGGATATCGGACGCCAGCAGTTGGCATTGATTTAGGATCAAGTTATTGTTCAGCGGCCATATTTACTAAAGGTGAACTGGGATTGATTCCAAATGAATTTGGAAAATTCAGAACACCATCATATGTATCATTCACGGCTTATGAGCGTCTGGTGGCTGAATCTGCTAAAAATCAACTGACTTCTAATTCTTGTAATACAATATTCGATATTCACCGATTGATTGGTGGAAGATTTGATGACGAGGTTTTCCAAAATGATCTCAGATTGTGGCCGTTTACAGTAATTTGTGATGAGAGAAATCGACCGAAAATACAAGTTCAATATAAGAATAACAAAAAATTATTAGAGCCGGAAGAGATACTAGCGATGCTATTGATAAAAATGGTGCAAATAACAGAAGCTTATATAGGTAAGTTTTTCTAGATAGTTCAATTTCGAAAAGATTGTAAGCGAATACACATTTAATTTTTCATATAAAACAATTAAAACGATTTCCTGCAAAGCATTAACTGTTTTTCGAGCTATCAGCAGAAAACTTCCCAGTGAGATAAGATTTCGCCCTAAGCGTGACACGATAAGCGATCCTAAAAATAAAACGCGTATCGTGTCATGCTTAGAAGGAAATTGTGCTTCACTGGCTTCGTTTTATGGGAACAGCGTCCATTAATGGTAACTGCTCATTGTTCTGTCATGTTTCGTAGGATGTTTACACCCATTTATTGTCGGCATTTCAGTGAATTTACCTTAGACTACTTTCAATTTATCCTTTATCTGTTATTAACACCGTGAAGACGTGCTATGACAGAAGAAGTAAAAAGCAAGAACCGTTAAGAGTTAACCATTAATGGACGCTGTTCCCATAGTAACAGCCTCGACTACCATATTAGAATTTGAAAAAGCTTTTTTATGGTCGATTATGGTCATAGTCGAACTAGCAATGCAAGAAAACTTATAGGAAGTTGCTTTTATCAAAACCCAAGTTTAAAATACTGCGATAAAACCCAGGTATACTTCATTTTTAAAAGTTGAATAACTCGTGAACCTTACATGGTACATTCTTCAAAGTTGTAGAGAATAGAGTTCATATGCCACTCTATAATAACAATCTTAAGCGGTTTATCGAAAAAAGGGAGAACATGTTTTAAAATTCATCGCGGTGGTGATCAATTCGTACTGAGAGTGGCGCCAAATCCGATAATTTTGCTGGGCGAGTAAAAGTCATTTTTCTCGGGTTCTGCATCAGCTATGACGTCAGAAAAAACAGTTTTTAACGTAATTTAATGTGCTCTATAAAACTAGATTGGTCTTAAGTGAAGCGGAAAAACTTTAGTAAAACGTGGGACACTTCAGATGGATTTGCCCTTTTATGGTTCACGTAACGTTTGTTCATAGAAAAAAAAGAAAGTGTGTGTGTAGATGTTCGTTATTCTTTGAATACTTCCCTGTTGCAAGACCTCTCTCTCTGTCTTTGTCTCAGAGTATTGTTGGAATCTTGTTTTAGATGGGTCATATTGGATATGGGACCCCAGCCCACGCGCAGGTCTCGAAAATCGGAATCGACAGTTCGATTCAGAATATTTTTCTCTTCATATACTGAATAAATCAGCTCCGACTTTTCTAATTTATTTTATAGAGCGTTCGGGTCTACGTACGTTTATTT